TCTTCCAGCTGTCTGTTAGACTCCCAAGTTTTCTTCTGATCTCATGGTTATTGTTGTGACTGGTCACATAATAGGCAGCCTGGAAAATGCGAAAGGTGCTCCTGAAAATGCTTCTACATGTGCAGGAAACACCACTTGGATTTCAGCTTTAAATGCAGTTTCAACATCAAGCCAACTTTCTCTTCCCCAGCTCTTGGATGCAGTATTCTGGAGAAGTTTTTTTAAAAAAACTTGCTATTTGGTCCTTCCTAATAAAGCTTTAGCTCAGTATCAAGTTCATGAAGGCCTTTTTCCACACTGAAAATTGCTAGTATCTTCGGGGCTATTCTAGGAAAACTGCAAAACATAATTACTTAAAATTTTAAGTCTTAAAAATGTAATTAAAATACAGCTGAAACCACCAATTCTTCATTTAGGCAATTAACAATTTAATCCTATGCCATGATAAGCATACTTAAATAGGAGCAGCATCCACATTTAAATAGACCATGTGAAAGTGTCTTGCTTACCCAGAGCATGCCGACACCTAAATGCTAGGGTAAAAATATTGATTTTATCATCAATATATGCCAGGTAGCATGAATGAGGTATTGCAAGAGCAGGAGAAATCCTTACTCAACTGCTGTTACACAATCAAGTAAGGAAATAGGATTCTAGCTGAGTGAGTTAGGTCTCTGGCTGTGGAACCAGAAGTTGGGATTTCAGTTCCTCACTGTACATCTCAGAAAAGCCAGCCTGTGTTGCCTTGGGCAAGCTGCATAGCTCCAGGATGCCCCCAGATGAAGGGAATGGAGAGCCACTTCTGATTACTCTCTATCTAGATCTCCCTGAAAAGAGTCACCAGAAGCTGGAATTAACTTGATGGCACATGATCATTATTACAAGGCTAGAGACTGCCTACTGGTCTTGCTACTGACTGATGAGTGAGGGATAAAAGGAAAAAGTGGTGTTTTAAAGAGAAAATGTGGTGAAGCTTCAAAGAATATGGCAAAATACCCTAGACTTTCCTATCATGATGAGCAATACAGCCTTGCATTTGAGAACAGTTGTTTCCATGTCCCTTCTTACAGCCCCCTTTTCTTCTCCACTTTCCCTTTAAATCAGATATATGATGAACCTGTGGCTCTTCAGTTGCTGCTGGGCTGCAACTCCTATGATCCCCGCCATACTGGCTAAAGCAGATGAGAGTTGTAGTCCAGCAACATCCAGAGGGGGTGCTTTCCCCATTCCTGTTCTAAATCAGAGGAAGCTGAGGCAGCAACAGAGAACCAAAATGGGCTTGACATTAAAAACAAGAATGCTCTTTTTGTTAGGGTGAAACTCAACATCAAAAAAACTAAGATCATGGCCACTGGTCCCATCACCTCCTGGCAAACAGAAGGGGAAGATATGGAGGCAGTGACAGATTTTACTTTCTTGGGCTCCATGATCACTGCAGAGGGTGACAGCAGCCACGAAATTAAAAGACACTTGCTTCTGGGGAGGAAAGCGATGACAAACCTTGACAGCATCTTAAAAAGCAGAGACATCACCTTGCCTAGAATGCTCTTTTTGTTAGGGTGTGGTGTTGCCAATATTGATAAAAAGAAATCAATATATTGCAAAAGCAAAGTGCCTTGCCACAACAACCAAGAATTAGTAATCAAGCTAGAAGAAAATGTATACAAATTCTTTTAAGAAACACAAAAGAACGCAATGGAGAGGTCAAATGAAAAGATAAACAACTGCTCAGCCATTTCCCCTCTTGCGGCTGTCCTCTATTTCTCCTTTCCATCACTTAGGGGAAATAGCTTTTGTTTGGCAGAACTGGCTACTAACTATTTTGACCCAGTTGTACCTGTAAAGCTCCCATATCCTGTCTCTAAGGATCCACAGTTGCTAGTACCTGCTTTCTACAGGGTGCAAAGCAAGACAAACTAGCTCCCCAGGTGGCTGGAGGAGGCCAAAGGGTGCTTAGGACAGAAAGAGAGGCCTATCCTTTTAGTTTTCAACCTCAGGGCATTTTTTTTAAAAAGAGGTTAAGAGAGTCACAGGGATGCTCATCTTTCCTGTTTGCCAAGCTAGAGCATCTGCATAAGCGCACATGCTCACAATCCCATTTCTCTTCTGCTTTAGGAATGGCCATGTGCCCTACTTTACAAAGGACGCTCGCCTATCTGAAAGGCTGTCAGAGGACAGCTTTGTACTAGAAACTGTGCTCTTATTTTAAAGAGCTGTCTGACCCAGTTGTATTATCTTTTTGGACCATTTATAGTACAGTGGGGTCTCTACTTAAGAACTTAATCCGTATTGGAAGGTGGTTCTCAAGTTGAAAAGTTCTTATGTTGAATCTGCATTTCCCATAGTAGAAATTGTGCTCTTATTTTAAAGAGCTGTCTGACCCAGTTGTATTATCTTTTTAGACCATATTATCTTTTTGGTACAATATGCCACCTTTCAAGGTGTCGTACATGGCTCTCGTTCTCCATGGTTTTATTCTCACAACATCCCTGTGAGGTAATTCCCACAGAGATAACCTGACAGTTCCAAGGTCACTTGGTGAGATTCACAGACCCCCCATGTGGTGCAGAATCTGGATGCTCCAGTCTACACTGTAGCCACCATACCATACTGTCTCTGGCATCAAGATTTTTAAAAAAGAAGAAGCAGGAACTTTGAGGTTGCTGATCAATATAATCACCATCATTTTAGAACAGCAGAGCTGGAAGGGACCCTGCGGATCATTGAGTCCAGCTCCTGTCAAAGAGGCAGAGTAGGGATCCAAACTCCCAACCTCACCTAAACCATTGAGCTATTCAGCAGCAGCTGGCAAGCGGTTTGCACAGCTCTGCTGTTCTAAAAGGATGATTATATTGATCAGCAACCTCAAGGTCCCTGCTTCTTCTTTTTTAAAATCTTCATGCCAGAGACAGTATGGTATGGTGGCTACAGTGTAGACTGGAGCATCCAGATTCTACACCACATGGTCATCTGGATGTAGTCTTCCCTACTATATCAATTATAGCTGAGTTTCAGACTCTGTGGCTCTCCACATGTTGCCGAAGACCAGTTCCCATCAGCATGACCAAGGATTCCATATGACAAGAGGAACAGCTCATCTACATTTGGGAAAGGAACAGTCTCCCCATCCTTGAATTATGGTATTCTCACATTCACATCTATACTCACAAACCAACATATACTAATGATCAAACATTTATGTTCTCTGTTTTTGGCAATGAGTGAAATGGGCACAATGAGGTGGTGGTGATTCATACAGATGATGATTGTATTGCACATGTTAAGCAAATGCACATGATGAAAAATATCAGTAAATTCTTTTCCTTCCCCTGTAGCCACCCAAATATTGCTCAACGCTTGAGGTATCAAAAATTATATTCCAAGTATAAGCTGATCCACTGGGAAATTCCACGTCCCCGTGTTTTGCTCTGTTTTGAAAAGGAAGCTATTATGGCTGGCTTACTCATACCCATCCACCTCTTCCTCACTCTCCACCATCACATTCCACATGGAAGAATCACAGAGTCTAGCACACATTTTATTTGTTTTGCGTCATGGAATTTTTTTTTTCATTCAGCTTTGCGAAAAACTTCAAGGTTGGCTGAAGTGGCTGAAGGAGGTTGGCTGAAGGAGTGAAGTAACTTTTTTTTTAAAGGAAGGGCATAAAAATGGAAGGATAAAGAGTTCAGCAGCACCACAGCGTCTTACTGTGCAGTCCTCATGCTAGTTTCTGACCTTTCACAAGAGGCATAAGGGACCCTTCTACCAGAGAAATAGAGTGCTTTTATTTAAAGTAAAAAAAAAAAACCCACACAAAACAAAACCCCCCACATTTTTTAAAAAAAGCAGCCTCTAGCACAGAAAGGGCCACTTTCACCTTCTCCCGCCTTACAAGAGGTCTCTGTGTTTTAAGAGCTGAGCGACAGGCAGAAATTCAACCGGCATTGGTCCCCCAAAACCAACGTGAATTTCCACCAGCTAAACAGGGTCAAGCCCTATTATCAAGTGGAGTGAGGCAAATGCCTCAGATGGTAGATGCTGGGAGGCAGCAATGGCAGCCCCAGAGTTATTGATCGCGGGCCCCCTGGCCGTTTGCTGGGAGACAGGGCAGCCCCAGAGCTATTGATCCCGGGCCCCCTGGCCGTTTGCTGGGAGACAGAGGTGAATATGCACCATAACCCCACTGGGATTCCCTAAAACAGCCTGCTGTCCTCAGATGTGCCAGGCAATACTTTTCCATGACCAGTACTCCACCAGCTACCAGTCACAGCTCCAAATGTTGGATGGGGTGCCATCTTATCCTTTAGGTCAGGCAGCAAAATAGCTGGGGCTGGCACCACAGCCTGCCATTAACAGTACAGAAGCCTTGCTTAGGGCTTGGGTCTCTGCTGCTCCTCGATGCACTGCAATCCCAAACCCAAAACCACTTCCCACCCTATTCCTCTTTTGTCCCTTTCTGACTTCATTCGTAGTTACTCTGTTCATCCCATATTCTCTGTAGCCTGCTGTAGAATGTCTCCTGTTTCCCCCCAAAGAGTAGGAAGAGCCCTGGTTGCCTCTGTATGTTTCCATTTAACTAAAGACACCACTGTTCTGAGTTCAAGAGTTCCCAAGCGCCTCCTTGTTTCTCACTCCCCCCCCAACCCCAGAAAAATGTCTCTCCCTAAAGTAAGAAACAGTGTAGTGTCTTGGGCTCTTCAACACCTTAATCCTCCCTCCACCTCCAAATATCCTTCAGAACAACCTTTTTTAAAAAAAATTACAGGTGCACAGGCTTAAAACAAATTGAATAAATCCACTGGGCATGCATGAACTGAAATAGCTTTTACAAAAATATCACAGATACTGCAGAAGAGGGAAGACAGCTTGCCATAATGGCCAGCTGCAGAACCTCCAGGTTTCAGGCGCATTTACACTACTGACAGATACAGATTTGGGAACAAAACATGGGGTGTGCATTACTATCAAGCCCTGCTTATACACTAACCCCGCCACTTACCCACGCACAATCTCTTTCAAGAGTAAACTCTGTCACTGTATGAAAACCCTGCACAATGATTTGTATGCTCCACTTGGTCATGTTAGGAGAAGGCCCTCCGCCATTTGGATACCACATCCTTTATTCCATACAGACTTGTGACAGATCTAGTCTTTAAAAAGCAAAGTCAATGAGCAGGAAATCCCTCTTTTTTTTTCCTGGCAGAGAGAGGACGACAGATTTCATGGTCTGCTCCCAAAGCGATAGTGTGTAAACAGGAGCCCGTCACTCCCTTCTTCTCTGTAAAACATGCAGCAGCCAGCGTGAGGGGATAGAGCAGAGCACTTCAACCACAGGCCCAGATGGATCTTCGGGCACTGGCGATCACCTCACCGTGCTTAGCCAGTTTCCAGCTTCGTCTGTCTCGTGGGGCACAACCAGCAGCAACTCGCAAGGGGCCTCGGACAGAATCTCCTGCAGGAACACCCTATACAGAAAGGGAGATAAAAGAATAAAAAAACTGGTCAGTAATTTAACTGGGCCATTCGGAGGCAGCCCAGGGTCAAATAAGAGGATGGTGTATTTCCTACAGATAAACTATTTTCTCTCCTGCAGGCTCTGTTCTCTTCAGAGATCTGCATCTCAACATCAGACTTGCAAATTAAGCCTGCGATTACTGTTTTAACAGGCACAGCAATTTGGGGAATTTTTTTCACTATAACTACTACAATTCCCCCAGTTGGAATTCCTGCGGAGGGTGGATTTGCTAAACTACAACTGATGGTGGGATTGGTAGTTTTTTGACAGCCAATGCATACAAAGCCTAATGAGCTGATGCTACCAGTACTACAACTCCTTGTAGTTTCCATAGAGCTTAGCAAGTCCCACCAACTCTCTCCCTTTTCCATGGCTGCAGGAAAAATATGCTGGGCCTTAGGTGTGTATGCCGAATCCTCTGAGGACTTGGATTTTTTTTTGCTACAGCTGCCAGAATTCTGGTTGGAGGAATTCCTGGTGAATTGTGGTAGTTATAATTTAAAAAACCCCAAAGTCCTGAAAGCCCCATGGCTACTGTTTAATGACCAATCACAAAACAAAGCACATTAAATACAAGATACATGGATGAAGGAAATCACATGCTATGGTGAATTGGCATCTTCTGGTTTCATCGCTATAGCTAGCTAGAAAAACCCATTCTTGGCACTCTTGATCCTGCTTCCAAAGACCAGAGTCCCTCTCCAAACTCCATCTTTGATCAGTGCCAATTTCCAGACCATGGGAACTTACCTATTCTTGGAACCTGGAAAACATGCTCTTTTTTGGACCGCAAAAGGACCGCCCCCCCCCAGCCAGCATGCGACCTCAGAAGTTCTTTGAACTATCTCCCAACAAACAAGCAAAATTTCTAAGCTCTGCCCATTCAGTTCAGTAGCAATAGCACTTTACCCAAGGTGCAAAGTTTCAAGAGAAGGAATAGAATTCCAGGAAAGTGAATGGGTTGGGTTTCAGCAGAGAAGCAGCACAGCGCTTCACTGCCTTTGGAGGCAAACTGGCTTGCTGTGGCTCTGAGGGCAAGAGGTTATGTTGAGCTTTTATGCTTTGATGCTCTGGCAACTGTTTTGATTATGGGTTTCATTCGTGCCTCACACCCTAGATGCCAGGATTACATTCTTCGCTTTCCTACCTTATGTCTCCTTATCTTGTTAGCTCAGCTGATCCTTCGCTGACCTTCCAGGCATATATATATATATACACACACACAGAAACACACCTATCACTTTCTCTTATTCCATTTCATGAATCTAGCAATGCATGTTCTTGCCTGCAATATCCCTTGGCTACAAGGCTGCTAGCTAGCTCCCATATGTTTTTTTTTAAAATATAATTTTAATACTCCTGCACTTCCACCTGTCAAATACTCAATGTGACTGACAATCCAAAATAAGATATAAAGTCCACATAATTTTAAAAAAATCATAACACACACAGAAACAAGAGAGAAAGAGAAACACTAGGGGAAAATCACATTCCTGCTTATTAAAAACTCAATAAAACAAAATGGGATTAAAGCATCACTGTAATATTTTAATCTATTTTCTAAAAAAACCCCCACAAAATTCCAACTTCGGATGCAAGCTGAGGTTCTTGGGAATTACTTGCTGTTCAGTCCTTTACAACACAAGCCCAAGGAGAATATCCTGAATATCAGGAAAAACCTCTCAACTGCTAGAGCAGTACAACAATGGAGTCAATTACCTTGGAAGGTGGTGAGCACTCCAAGGCTAGAGGCATTCAAGAAAAAAATTGGACAACCATCTGTCAGAGCTGCTTTGATTTTGATTCCTGGGCTGGGGCTCGGGGTTGGATTCAATGGCCTTACATGCCCCTTTCAACTCAATTATTCTCTGAGAATATGCTTCTGCTGAGTGTTCTACTATATTATGCAGACAAAATGCACAAAATATAGTGGTACAATTATCAGAAGACAGTCAGCCTTATATTACACGTAGCATACATGGGTAATGGGAAGCCTTCTGAGAAATCCCAAGAGCCCCATTACCATGGCCAATGATTAGGGACTGGTGGAATTGTACATCCAAGCGTGTGGTGGAGCAAAAATCTCTACCTTGAGCTACACTGTAACACTGAAACATTTTTTAAAAAGTTCTTGGTTGCTAATGCTAAGGGGCTGTCAACATATCTGGCAGTGCAGACAGTTTGTTACAGTTTCAAAGTGATTCAAATGCATCTTGCTATGTATAATTTTTGTTACACCATCCACTAGACCAGTGGTCCCCAAACTTGGGCCTCCAGATGTTCTTGGACTTCAACTCCCAGAAATCCTGGCCAGCAAAGGTGGTGGTGAAGGCTTCTGGGAGTTGTAGTCCAAGAACATCTGGAGGCCCAAGGTTGGGGACCACTGCACTAGACCACTGGTTCTTAACCTTGGGTTACTCAGGAGTTTTGGACTGCAACTCCCAGAAGTCTTCACCACCAACTGTGCTGGCTGGGGTTTTTGGGAGTTGCAGTTCAAAAGCATCCGAGTAACAAAGGTTAAGAACCACTGGACTAGACCAAGGGTCCCCAACCCCCGGTCCACGGACTGATCCTGGTCCGCGGCCTTGCCAGGATCAGGCTGCAGAGACAAATCTCCTGTTCCCCCCCGCACGCGCAGACGCATGCACGGCCCCGCCCACACACTGATGCCCCGCCATCCCAACCTCACGCTAAACCAGTCCGTGGAGGCAAAAAGGTTGGGGACCACTGCACTAGACTGGTTGAATGCCACTGAAACAGCCTTATCCCTGATGCTGGGGCATTACCACAGAGAAAACTGTGCCTACAGGCACTACCTACCTCTTCTCCAGAGGAGAAGGCACCTGGAAATAACCTCAAAAACAGCCTTAGCGAAAGGTTGTTCCCATCAATGAAGTGAAGGGAGACAAACAGACAACGTTCACAACCTAATATAGGGAAAGGGGTTCTTCAGAGACCTTGGCTGTTCTAAGGCCTAATTCCAATAACCTGTTCCCTTTGTTATAAACCCACTGAAACAGTTGCTGATTATAAATCAACACTGATGTAACTCCCAGGATAGTTCAGCAGGTCAACGACAGACTTGGGACCACTGGTCGCTTGAGACTGGGCGGGGACAGCATTGGTCCAAAATACGAAGAGAGATCTGGTCATTTTTTTTGTATTGTTGATTTATAATGCCTGAATCTGTAAACCACCCAGAGTGGCCTTAATAGGTATTGTTGATTTATAATGCTTAAATCTGTAAACTGCCCAGAGTGGCCTTAATAGCCAGATGGCCGGTATAAAAATAAAATAAATAAAATAAATACTTATAACCCTACAGGTCTAAAGTACCTGTATTATTTTGGCTTAACCCTTCACACAAAGGGCACAACCATGGACAGGTACATGGGGATAAACAGAAGCCTCGCGGTTTCACAGAGCAGGCAACACAGTCTATGGCCAGGCTAACTTATTCTTGCTCCCTGACCTATTCTTTTGACCTGTCTATCTTGAGGACCACCTTATTTCACACGTCCCTCACTTCATACTCTGTTGTTTGATACCTGAGGTCTTGTACCAGAGGCAGTTACTGAACGAAATATAACAAGCAGCCAATACAAACAGAGAGGGCTGAGTAGTCACACTTCATAGAATGTCTGCTTAACAATGATTCACCAGGCCTCAACAACTATCAATATCTACCTTGGAGTAAGTCCCCCTTACTGCTTCGGAGTAAGGTAAAAGGTAAAGGTTCCCCTTGACAATTTTTTTTGTCCAGTCGTGTTCGACGCTAGGGGGCAGTGCTCATCCCTGTTTCCAAGCCATAGAGCCAGAGTTTTGTCCGAAGACAATCTTCCGTGGTCACATGGCCAGTGTGACTTAGACACGGAACGCTGTTACCTTCCCACCGAGGTGGTCCCTATTTACCTACTTGCATTTGCATGCTTTCGAATCGCTAGGTTGGCGGGAGCTGGGACAAGCGATGGGCACTCACTCCGTCGTGTGGATTCGATCTTACGACTGCTGGTCTTCTGACCCTGCAGCATAGGCTTCTGTGGTTTAGCCTGCAGCGCCACCACATCCCTCGCTTTGGAGTAAAAATGCAGAGAAATGTGTATTCTGACATCTGAGAGAAACACGACTCTTCCAGAAGGCTTTTAATTATCCTTGTTATTTTAGTGACACTTACATCCATGACTGCTGTTTTAATTAATGCTATTTGATTGGCCTGTATGATATGTCACACTTCTTATTTACTCCAATAAATGTTTTATGTAAGCCCCCATGAACTCACGTCATGAAAATGAGAAGTTTTTAAAAAACAAAATAAACAGTAAAATAGAGTATTTGAATCAAACAAGACACGCGCCCCACCCCTTAAAACCACCGTATTATCAGCACCTGAGGTCAGCTTCGCCACCGATCGGAGCAGGCGCCTTCAGTTTGGAGTCGAGGTTGTAGTAGATGCCATCAAGCTGACGCACTGCGATCCAGTGGCGTCGCCTCACAGGAAGGGAGAGGAGGCCCAGACAAACATTGGAGGGGACATTGATGATGAATCCGAGTACCCCTGCCAGGGACAGCTGTTCTAAGGGTCTATGAGATAAAGAGAAAAACATGGGGCTTGGCAAGGAATGCATACTGATCTGAAAGAAGAAAAACAGATCATTCGCAAGCGCCCCAGTGAACATAGTCTCCAGGCAGAACCCGTGCCTTGCACGTATTATGGAAGAGCCCAGTCTCACTTTCTAGGGGTAGAAAAGAACCTGGACGGAAACCCTGGAAAGCCACTGCGGCCGGTCTGTGTCAACAACAGAGGGACAGGTGGACCCATGATCTGACTCCATCTAAGGTAGTCTCCTAATAAGATGCTGCCACTTGGCACTATTAATCCAGACTTTTCCAATCTGTTGCTCTTCTGCTGCAATGCCTAAACCAAAAAGGCATGGTGGGTGTTGTAGTATCACTGGTGGGGGCAGCTGACCTACTCACAGCTCAAATGGAAAACCGGTGGGGTGATCTACATGGAAAGGAATAAAAAGCCATGGAAACCTGCAACAAATTGTTGCACCATAGATTGCTGTTCTTCAGGATCCCAGCAACTCTACTCTGTCTCTCTCCTCCCATTTTTCAGATTTTCCTTCCACGTGCACAGTCAGGAGACAATCAGAAGGCATTGGAGATGCTTTGGTCCTGACTGTGTTCTTTGCAGAATGAGGCGGGGTTGAGAGAGCAATGATAATACAAAATACTGTACAGGTTTTAGAACATCCACGGTATTCCTTTCTTGACCATATCTGAGAGTAAGCTGTAGATTTTCAAAAGAAAGCCAGATCTAAATTTAATAAATATATCTTTCTCAAAGTCTGTGCATATAGGGAGTCCCTTTAGGTTCTATGTTGCCCCTGCAAGGTCTCTTATTAAGCAACATAGATTCTTGTTCTTGCAGGTCTGCCCGCAGCAACATCTAATTGTTCAGTGTCTTCCACTGAAATACTTTCTAGAAGCATAGGTGTACATTTCAATATTGCTTCTGAAATAGACTTTTCTATGAACTCTCAAGCCTTTCCAAAGAGATGCAAGAATTAAAATTTATTAGCGTCATTTCCAAACTTGGGGCTCCAGATGTTCTTGGACTACAATCCCCACAGACTACAATCCCCAGAAGTCCCAAACTTAGGCTATGGCAGCTATGAGTTATGGGAGCTGTAATCCAAGAACACCTAGGGTTCCAAGTCAGGGGAGTGTATGTGTGAACATGTGAGTATAAATAATACAGCAGTGGTTTCCAGCCCCAGATGTTCTTGGACTGCAACTCCCAGAAGTCCTAGTCAGCAGCCAAAACTGAGGGTTTCTGGAAAGAGTAGCTACCAAACACCTGTGAGCCTACTGCTGGTAACCACTTTTACACACACACACACAGAGAGAGAGAGAGAGAGAGAGAGAGAGAGAGAGAGAGAGAGAGAGAGAGACAGAGACAGAGAGTTCTATAAACAGCACATGCTTTGCACATAGGCAGTCTTGGATTTGACATCTGAGAAATTTTCTCTCTTGTGCTGGATTGCATCTTCCACGATTGGCTATAGATGGCTAGGGCTCATGGCAGTTGCAGTAAAAAAAATCTGGACAGCTACAGGCTGCCTGTCTCCCAGATGGCGGGAAAGACCTCCTGCTTGAGACCAGAAAGCCATTGCCAGAGAAACGGAGCTTGTCCCAGAATCTTTCAGCTAGCATGTGCCCAGCCAGCGGCCATGTTAGCTCAGGGATTCTGAGAATCATAACCCAAAAAAAAGATCATTTTCTGAACCTTACGCTGGTAAACTTGATAGGGTGATCTGATATACAGCATCTGCCTATGTTCCTAAACTCACAAAACCAACATATGATGTCTATCATTTCCAAGATGCACTACATCCACAATTTCAAGGATTTAGAGAACAGAAAAAATACAGGAAAATGATCAAACAAAAGTCTGAGAGAAGGAATGGCAGGCAGACCAGAAAAAAACAGGCTGTAATAAGATCTGGTCCAGGAGATGAGCAACTTGTCGCCGCCTGTGTTGGTTGATTACAACTCCCATCAGCCTTTGGGTGCCATGATAAATGATGAGGGTAATGAGTATTGCAGCCCCACAACATCTGGAGGTCCACAGGTAGCCCACCCCTGCTCTAAAGCATTATGATACAGCATCTGAATTGATTGATTAACAGGCAAGCCAAAAATGTAGGAGGAAGCCACTGGAAGACAGAAGGAAGTTTAGCAAATCAGTTACAGGAGAAAGAGTCAGCAAGCTGGAACTTGGAAGGCAATACTGCGGGTGGGTGCGTGGGTAGGGGGGGAAAAGGTGAAGGCAATGGCTCCATCTCCTCACCTGCGCTTGTCCCACCAGATGGCCTCCAACCCGACACTCTGGAGAGCTGCCATGATGACGTTGACATCGTAGTTACCTGTTCCCAGGAAGCTGCGGTGGGGGTTCCACCTGGTGTCAGGGGCCAGCCTGTTTAAAAAAAGCATCAGAGAGAGTTTCCCTACAAACAAAAAGTACACAGTGACGCAGAAGAAGTGAGCCCAAAGGAAGTCTTCTGCTTCCTCGGATTTATTTATTACATTTAGAACATGGAAATCTTCTTGATGTACAATCATAGAATTCACGTCGAAGCAAATCTGACAGATGGTTGTCCAATTTCCCCTTGAGTATCTCCAGCGCTGGAGGGATCACAATCTCCTGACACAACCGGTTCCGTTGTCATACTATTCTAACAGTTGAGAAGTTTTTCCCTTATATTCAGCCTAATTCTGACTTCCGGTAACTTGAGCCCATTATTATGTGTCCTACACTCTGGGATAACTGAGAACACATCCTGCCTTTCCTCTGTATGACAACCTTTCAAGTATTTGAGAAGTGCTATCATATTTCCCTTCAGTCTTTGTTTCTCAAGGATAAACATGCCTTTGCATACTGATTGGGGGAGGGGGAGATAAAGACAGTCCCTTACTTCAGACTAACTACTGAAAAAGATGCATCACTAGAGAAAAGAGGGATGGAAATAGGAAGGGAAAACAAGAAACACTCAGGGTTGTTTTCTTAATGCCAAGAGGCTCATCGGCTTTGTAGAATGGTTGCTTGGGGAGGGGGAAATTCTGCTCAGGATGGTTACACAGAAGGGCTGTCTCTTAGCCTGAGAACCGCCTCCAAGAATGCCTGCATGCTGCTGCTATACTTACGCGGTAGCCCTTTTTGTACTTTCTCTGTACTGTCTCTTAGCCTGAGAACCGCCTCCCAGAATGCCTGCATGCTGCTGCTATACTTACAGTACATACTTGACAACCCTCATCATCACACTGATTGTGGATGAGAGCCATTGCCCAAGCTAGGATTTAGCTGATCTCTGATTCCCCCAATTCTTGTAGAAATCCAATCTCCATCACACCTATCAGTGAGACATGATGGATGAAGCAGATCATCAGCTGGTGTGAATGTTCTGCACCACTCTTTAATCTTTGAACTGTACTACACTTAAATCGAAGCAACCAACATGAATTTGACCCAGTACACTTAAATCAAAGCAACCAACATGAGTTTGACCCAACTCCAGGAGGCAGTGGAAGATAGGAGGGCCTGGCATGCTGTGGTCCATGGGGTCACAAAGAGTCAGACATGACTAAATGACAACAACACTTAAATCCCAGTACTTTGAACTGAAATAACACACCCTCTTCTCGCATTAGCCATGATTATTTCCATCTTTGTCTGCTATTTGCCTGTTCTCAGATGCAGAAACATGCAAGTAATTGCTTGCTTTACTCCAATTCCTAGTAGCCTCAGCCAATGGTCAAGGATGATAGGGACTTGAATCCAACAAAATCTGGAGGGCCATATTTCCTCCACTGCTGAATTTAAGACCCATTTCCTCCAAGCAAAGACCTGCTTTTCTGTTCTTTCTCTAACATACCATGCCTACAGATGGCACAACATTATTATTCTTGTGTTGCAGATTTAGATTACCCTAAACTTGTCCAAAATAAAGTTATGTGCGTTTCAAACATGCAATCCACATTTTAATTTTATTTTATTGTTTGCTTGCTTACTCAAGCTGGTGAAAATCTTATCCCAGGAGAATTACACTGGGAAAACGCATCCCCAACAGAGGGGGCATCCTTCTTTTTCTATGCAACTGTCATCCTAGCTGCTGCAAAGAAATACTGAACTCCAGGGAAGCCTTCCAGGCTCCTACTTGCCCCAGAACAACACTATATAAATGAACAATAAATCAACACTCCCATTTTGCAGAAGGAGCAGTATTTCACAGGCTTTCTTCGGTACTTTATATCTGTTCCACTGAAGTGGTCACAGAGCACAAGATATTATCAGGATTGTGCTAATTAAAGTGTCCTGATGACCAATGGTTTTAAATAAAACTAAATCCCAGCCTCTCACGCAAAATTCCAGCGCAGTTGCCAGTTCCACTCATTAAAAGCGCAGGTGGCTCTCCCATTAGTTACGGGCCCATAAAGCCACATCCATGCGTCTGGTAAAATCCTGCCGGCTTCACAGCACTTGAGAGGAAGGGGCCTCCTTTATAGTATGGCCAAGCATGAGCTTGTGTACATGCAGTATCCTTTTGCTCAAATGCTTCTGAAGAGGAGCTGTGTAAGAAAGTAGAGTGAAACCTCTTATATTTATTTCTATATCTATTTTTACATATTAGTTTAACTGAACTCAGCCTTTCTCCCATAAGAAGGACCCAAGGCAGCTTAGAAATATTTAAAAAACAACAAACCCAAGCAATTTAAAATATAATCAATTGTTAAATGTAATCAATATAATCAATTGTTTAAAATATAATCAATTGTTGTTTGGTAATGTTGTTTGGGGCAGTGTTTTGTAGCAGTGGGCTGCTGACCCTTATTTTGTCTGTTTGTAGTGTTTTATTTTAAATACAATTTTACTCAAAAATTAAAAATAAAATATATAATCAATTGCAACATTAGAAAAAAAATTAAACATATTCATCATTATAAGTACTACGCAAACCCACTTTGAAACACATATAAAATATAGGAAAAACAACTCCCTTTTATTAGGAACCATCTTCTTATGAAAAGTCTGTCTAAAAAGAAAGGGTTTTGCCTGCCCGTGGAAAGACAGCACAGAAAAGTCTAGCCTGGTCTCCTGTGAAGTTAGTTTAAAGCCTAGGAGCAGCCACCAAAAAGGCCCTCTCGTGTCTGCTCCACATATGCCTGTAGAAGCGGTAAGACCAAGAGCAAATGCTCCCTCAAATATCTTAAAATCCAGCATGTTCATATGGGAGATGGGGAAAAACAGCCCCTCAGAAAGCCTGAACAGAAGTCATTGTTACTTATTTCTTTAAAATATTTGTACCCCATCATTCTTCTGCATTTGACATGTGGGAAAGGGACAGAAATTTGCATTTGGATCCAGAAGCTAGGCTGTTTACAGTGCTCTTGTATAAGACAGGCTTTTTATTCTCCACAGTTCAGCATGTGCATAATTCCATATAGAACTTTGTTTCTAGTCCTCATGATTGTCAAGATGGAGGGAAGGAGAAGGCCTGTACTCGACCTCCGCCCTCCACCACCACAGCCACTTCCATGGAAACCAGAACCAAAACTTGTGAATCACTCTTTCCATTCCTACCAAAATATCTGCCCAAGTGGAACCAAGGTATAATGAAAGGCAATTATTTGTCTTCCTGAAGCTCAAAGCAGACGGTTTAACAGAGATGAAAATCTGCCCAGTTCCATTTTTTTCGGCCCTGCCCATTTCCACAATTAGGACTTAAATGCAGAAGCCCCACAGACATTTGAACCTCCCTCAGGATTGGCCATGCGCTCATTTTTAAAGATTCAGTCAGTCTGCCAGTTCAAATGCACTTCCTGTACCAACACCCAGTTTCCACATTCTGCAGACTCCAGAGACCTGAGGTTTAAATTATGGTCATGTTAGTGAGTAGGTGTATGCAAAAGAAACAACTTTGTGGCATTAGGTTTTACCACTTGATAAACATCAGGGACTAGAGTTGAATCTCAGTAAGATGGAGAACATTGGGCTGTTCAAATGTCTTTGAAGACTACAATTCCCAGAATCCCTTACCATGGGCCAAGGCAGCTGGGGCTTCTGGGAGATGATCCAAAACCATCCAGAGAACCAACAGTGCCTCACCCTTTCCATACGACAAAGTCTGGGGTTTGTTTCTATTTCCAGAATAAGAATTCTTGATATAGTTGTTTATTTTTTTTTCTTTCAACAAGGAAACATCCATTGGTTAGGCCACAGGTTCCCAACCTTGGGTTCCCGGAAGTCTTGGACTAATACTCCCAGAAGCCTTCACCACTGGCTGTGCTGGTTTAGAGTTCTGGGAGCTGTAGTCCAAGAATGTGTGAACACCCACATTTGGTAACCACTGGTCAGGTGATACAGGGGGGCAGGCTGCAGTATGAGACAGAGACATTTATTAGGCTCAGATTATTAAGAATATTCATACCGGATCATGTTTGCCTCCTTTTGGGATTATGAAAATATGTGTGAAGTGTGGCCCTTCAGATTTTGGACTGCAGCTTCCAGCTCTCTAGGCTACAGGCTATATTGGGAAAGGCTGATGAGAGTTCCAGTCCCCCAAAGTGGGAAGCACTTTGCCCACCTCTGAGGTACTGACAAGAAGCAAAATACCAGGCATACAAATGACTCACCTCTTGCAGATCTCATCAGCCACCTCTTGGGTGAAAATCCGTTCCTGCAGAACGTTGTTGAGGGCATGGACAGCGCACAGTTCAAGGCGTTGCCTCTCGTGATAAATCCCAGATGCCTCATGCCGTCCTGAGCTTCCAGACATTACATCTACAGAAGCCCGGAAAGTCCTGCTCCGAGAAATCAGCCCTGGGAGGTGGGAAAAGCAAGAATGGCATTGATGGAGAAGTTAAACGGATCAATATAAACCCATTAGCGGCCTAATGTTTTGGCCAGTTATATCAAAAGCTCTCTCTCTCTCTCTCTCTCTCTCTCTTTCTGTGTATATGTACGTATGTACAGTGGTGCCTCGCATTACAACGTTAATTCGTTCCTGCGAAATCGCTGTAGAACGAAAACGTTGTAATGCAAAAAGAAAAACGCATTGAAACGCATTAAAACCTGTTTAATGCATTCCAAAGGGCTGCAAACTCACCGTCCAGCGAAGATCCTCCATAGGGCGGCCATTTTCACTGCCTGTGAAGCAAGGAATCTGTCCCAGAAAACAGCGGGGGGCCATTTTGTTTACCCGGTGGCCATTTTGAAACCGCCGATCAGCAGTTGGAAAATCCCAAAGTGAAATTCCCCTGCTGGAAACATCGTTTTGCGATCGCAAAAGCTCATCGTAATGCAGTTTTGTCGTAATGCGGTTTCATCATTAAATGGGGCAATCGTAAAGCGAGGCAGCGCTGTATGTATGTATGTATGTATGTATGTATGTATGTATGTATGTATGTATGTATGTATGTATGTATGTATGTATGTTTGTTTGTTTGTTTGTTTTGATATATATAGAGAGGACTGCTTTTCCAAGAATCCCAGCATCTCTCCTGGCTGGGAGATTCTGGTAGCCTAAAAATATCATAAAATAAAATTCCAACACCAATTTCTCCAAGCTCAGGTCAAATCATATCAGTAAGTTCTCTTTTGTCTGGCTTACCCCTGTCCCCCCTTGCCATCTTTAGCTGCCTCTACTCATTCTTTCTCATAGTCCTTGGCGCCTTGGGAGTCCTTCCTTTGGCCTTCTCCTCTGCCCTTCATCCCTGTATTTCTCTATCAACACGCTTCTGTTCCTTGACCAAGTACTTTCCCAGGGAAGATCTGCCAACCCTCAGCAGAGACATCAACGCAATACTCATCATTAGCAACATGAGAGCCCAAAGAATATCATGATAAGAATTCCTTCAATAACATGTCAATATGTAAAATTTTGAATATAAAAAATTAAATCGATTAAAGGGATGTAGAAAAAGCAACCCCCCAAAATGTATATTGTTCTTTTACAATGAAGTTGGAACAGTTGTTTACTAAAAAATAACGGTGAAACAATCAGCCCGCTCCACAGCCCAGTCTGAAAGCAAGGTCACTGTACAATAACATTGCCTTACAAATGAATGTCTTTCACGGCTGACAGTTCAGTAAGTAAACAAAGGAGAAAACTGAAAGTGTATTGAAATAATTGGTTTGCAATATGTAAAATGTTAACATGATTGGTAGGGGGCATTTGCAGATACACTAACTTGCTCTATCCTATTTTACTAGATCCGGTAATTTACACTGCCTTTATTTTACACTCAGTGTAACCCACTGGCTGAGTAACTGTTAGTCAAAGTAATAACACTTATATCATCATGGTAGCAGCTTGCCAGATTCTGATTTACAGGAATTGTATTTATAGGAGTTGTAAAAGCAATAGAAATTTCCCTTTTTAAGTTTTTTTCATTGTGGATGAAAACCCTGTAACTTACTGGTCCAGCAAAAGTCAGTAGGTTATGTCTGAGAGAAATGTAAATAGTGTATAGGAAGGCAGGAGACACACAACACAATGCATACACTGGATACCAATAACACAGACATCAAAGCGGCGTCATGTAGCAGCAACAGAAGCAACGAGGACAACATGGATATTCCATCATAGATTCAAACTGGTTTGGCAGGGCGAGCACTTAGAATAATTTTCTGTATGTGCTCACCAATACAGTCAAAGGCTAAAGATTACTTAAAGCTATAGTGCTTTTTTACTTTTAAATGATGTCCTTTAGGGTTGCATTCTTTGCTTTTTTATTGTGCCTTTTAGGCTATTTTGTCATTGTTGTCTGCATTTTTAGAATGTAATTAAAATATTCTTTTTGGTATTTTATTGTACCTTTTATGCTCCTGAATTCTGGATTGAATTCGGACTTCAGTGTTTGCCTGCAACTTATGTAAGTTTAATTTTCAAATATTTTTAAGTGTTTGTGCCTACAGTTTTTCATATCTGTAAGATTTTTGGATGTCTTCAACAGCTTTGAAGAATTTTTGTGGTTAATAGAGCATAGACACAGCATAGAAAAATAAAGCTTATAGAACTGAACATGCTGATGTTGCCTGGGATCATTACAACAATGAAAAGACTTATATCTTGATACCCAGATGAATTTTTGCTATGACTGGAAATTGTTCTCTGGTTTCATTCTGGAATTATCCCTTTTTATAGGTAATTTGCCCCCACAGGTCTATAAACATCTGCAGGGCTCTTAGGAGGATGTTCAGGCATAGCAATATGTTTCTATCCAGACATTGTTGAACTCCAAATCCAATGAGCCTCACCTCTAGCAAAGTGGGCAGGGAATCATTGGAACTGTAGTCCAGTAAACAGTTGAAAGAGATGTGTTGCCCAAATCTTTGCAAACTCAAATACTGTATACTGTAGTACAGTAAGGCAGAACAGCAAGGGGAAAAATTTCCACACACACCATGAACCTACACAGAAACTAAATATATTCTAATATTTTGTAAAAATGGTTGAAAGATGGGAGGTTTTTCCCTTTAAAAAATCATCAAGATAAATTTATGGCTGAAATGAAATTTCCATCTACATCAAAAGTCTTGTGTTACCTAATGGGTGAACATGTTGTAGGTGTGACCATGGAAAGCAGCCCAATTTGCAAGTCAGAAACCTCACAAAGCAGTTTTTATGAAATGATAAATTTGTAAAGGATAAAATTTTAGATCAGGGGCAGGAAATCTGTGACTCTCCAGACACTGTGGACCATAACTCCCATCCCTACCCACTTATCAGCCATGCCAGTTAGAGCTGATGGAAAATTAACTCTAGCAGGAACCCCTCCTCTAAACTATAATCCTCATCGTTGCCCTCTCTGTTCTGAAACACAGGAAATTTTATGACCCATTACATCGAAAATACTCATTTATCCACAACGCTAAAGAGAATACAAGTGCACTTAGAGATCAGAAAGCTGATTGTTGGTTTTAGTAATAAGGAAAAGTACTGCGGCACTTTAAGACTTTCGTGGTGGTTTGGCAGAAGTTTTCAAGATTATATAGCCCACTTCATCAGTTACATATTTTATCAGATATTTGCAAGCACCCATCTCTAATTTGCAAATATCCTAGTTTTCCACCCACTTCCCTGCCGGCCAAATTACCAAAGGCCAGCAAATATGGACCAGCAAAGCAGTCCCAACTCATTCCGTTAGTAACGCAGAAGAAGTAATTTAAAAGTTAGTAGCCACTGAGCAAGCACACTCTGTACATGCTCTAAAGCACCACTATTTTCGAATGTTTCACCCCATCACAAGCTCTAGGGATAATCAAAACCATCTGCTCCTAGCCTCCTATTTGCACATCTTCCTGACTTTTAATCTTTCCTTACCCCCCATCCAGCCAGTTTGGGGGACACCCGTATCCTGGGGAATTGAAAAAGAAGCAAGCAAACGGGGCGCATCATCTTACCCAGGAGACGCTGGAAAAACTCCAGGAAGGAAAACTCCCCACCATGACTGGCCCCGAAACGGTTGTTTTGGTGGCCAGGCTGACTGTGCAGAGGTGGGGAGACTACTCTTCCCGGCAGGCACTTGGGCAGGACGCACGAACTCCAAATCCCGGCATGCACTAGGAAAGAGGAAGAAGAAAGCGGAGAGCCACAGTTCCCAGAATGCACCAGCAATGCCTTGAGAAAACTAGCAATCCCAGAATGCACCGAGAGAAGGCGGGGAGGGGGAGGAGCGTTGGACGTAGTAGAGCATAGCTATGAGCGTCGATATTCCTCCCGTGTACAGTATTACAGTTCCCAGCCTCTCATGAGGAGGGGGTATAAATAAATAAATAAATAAATAAGAGGAGCGTTGGACGTAGAGCATAGCCGTGAACGTGGAGATTCACAGTTCCCAGCCTCTCTCATGAGGAGGGGGTTTCAATGGAATAAATAAATAAATAAATAAATAAATAAATAAATAAATAAACGTATGTAATATGTTTTGGTAACGGTGGTTCCTCATATCTAAATGTTTTGATATTTCCTTGATTATTTATTTAAAATATTTGTACACCGCCTTTCTCCTTGAAAAGGACCCAAGGCGGCTCATAATATTGAAAGACAACATTTAAAGCTGAAAATAAATGAGTATGAAAGGGTGGTTGACGTCATTAAAATACAGTATTTAAAACTAAAACATGAGTATGAAAGGGTGGTTGACATCATTAAAATACAGCATTTAAAACTAAGAATGGTGAGTATAAAGGGGCAGCTTTACATCTTTAAAAGACAACACTGACACTAAAACAATAAGTGTAGAAACATTATACAGCTATACAAACACTGAATCTGTTATTTTCTATGTAAAAAAAGGATGGAAGAATCACTAGGTTCTCGTAGACTATCGTGACTATCAGCCTCACCCATCATTCATGGAGTGAATGGGCAGCTTCGTTAGATTAACGAATGACTTTTAACTATAGCCCCTGTTCACCTTATCCAGCATAATAAATGTGGAAGTTGCAGTACAATAGGGACGCCTTATCTGCTAGGGATTGGTTGCAAAATCTCTCATGGATACTGAAAACCATGGATAAAGTGAACACTGTATATACCGTTTCCCTGAAAATAAGACCTAACCTGAAAACAAGTCCTAGTATGATTTTTTAGGATGCTCATAATATAAGCCCTACCCCAAAACTAAGTCCCAGTTAAGTGAAACCCTGCCCTCTACCCTTGTACAGCAACCAGAAGAAGATGACATGACTGTAGAATAAAACATCCCCGGAAATTAAACCCTAATACATTTTTGGAGCAAAAATTAATATAAGACCCTGTCTTATTTTTGAGGAAACACAGTGTGTTTAACTCAGGCAGATAGAGATCCCCATGGATATGGGGTACTACTGTGTGTATCTGCCTAAGTCACTTATCCACTGCCTGAAATGACTAAAACACCCCAGAATATTTATACATATTCCAGGATGTGTTTACTAGAATTGTCCTCTAGAGGGAGCCAGAGACCATGCAGTGTATCAATCAATATTTCCATGTTTTTTGGCATTCGTGGTGTGTGTGTGGGGGACCAATACCTGCAGATACTGCATCTTCATTGTCAACATTACAGTTGTGTATTTCCTTTGGTCTTACATAATATTCAGCTGCAGTCCTATCACTTTCATCAGAAATCCTTTCAAGTCAAGTCATTGCTGCTTTCGACTAGTAAGACGGTGTCATCTGCATATCTTAAATTATTGATGTTTCTTCCGACAATTTTCACTCCTCCTCCTGCTGAATCTAGCCCAACTTCCCATATGATATGTTCTGCATATACTCTGTTTTTCCCCAAAATAAGACCAAACCCAAAATAAGCCCCAGTTAAGTGAAACCCCAAAGTAAGCACCAGTTAAGTGAAACCCCACCCTCCATCCTTGTGCAGCAACCAGAAGATGACATGACTGTCTTTGAACAAATGCAGATTGTTGTACATGAAAAAAATAAAACATCCCCTGAAAATAAGCCCTAATGGGATTTTTTAGACCAAAAATTAATATAAGATACTGTCGTATTTTTGGGAAACACTGTGAACAGATCAAACAGATAGCGAGATGAGATGCACTCTTACCCAACACTTTTGGTTATAGGCAACCATTCTGTCTCACCATATTATGTTCACTGTAGCTTTTTCTCCACAATACAGGATATGCATCAGGACAATCAAGTGCTGAAACACACCCATTTCTTTTAGAACTATGGTCAATTGAGTTTAGTAATGCAAACCTGTTCTTTATGTGGACCTCTAATTAATCAGAAATGTTATTTAAATTCAATTTTGGCACAAGGATTCTTTTTGTGCTCTGCTTCAGCTTTATGCTAATGTTTGATATCAACTGTTTGTGATCAGCACCACAGTCTGTTCCTGGTCTTGTTTTGGCAGAGAGAATACAGCTTCTCCATCTGCTTCCAATTATGTAGTCCACTTGATTTCTATATTGGCCATTTGGGGATGTCCACATGTACAGTTGTTTGACTGGTTGAAGCATGTATTGGTTGAAGCATGTATTTGCAATAAACAGATTGTCAATTTCCTGTTTTAGTATTCCAGTCACCTATGATCAAAGTTCCTGATAAACTGAACATGCATGTGAACATCTCTGCCTCCCAGCGCACAGCTATCTTCCTTCTCCACGTAGTGATCTTGTTAGATTCTGGTCGTGATAGAACCCAGCATGAGGGGGGAGGAGTCATGCATACATGCAGGGGTAGGGGTGAAAATTAGATGTTACCTTGCCTGTGATTATAAACATGTCTTGTTTTGGCGGGTAATCAATTTCCTCCTGAATGCTTGCATTAAAGCTTTCCATTACATCTTATTCAGCATCTGCAGTTGGAGCATAGACTTGAATGATGGTTATGTTGATAGATTTTCCCCAAGTCTGATGGATATTATTTGGGCAGACCTTATATTATAGCCCCCAACTGCCAGTGCTATGTCTTTCCTCAGTATTAGAGCCACCCCATTTCTTCTGAGTTTCTCATTTCCAGAGTAAAAGACTTTGTAATTGTCTGACTGAAAATGTCCTGTTCCAATCCACTTTAGTTTTCACTGCCACCAGGCAGTATAATGTTTATACATTCCATTTCTTGGTTTGTGGTTTCCAGTTTATCTTGAATCATGCTTCTCATGTTCCATTTCCCAATTGTACATATTATGCAGCATCAGACTTTCAGTTATGAGTACATCAGCCACTAGACATCCTTTTGGTTTTTAGCATTAGACTTTCAGTTATGAGTACATCAGCCACAAGACATCCTTTTGGCTTTAATCTGATTGCACCATTAGTGACAGCACTGCTTCTACTTGTCCTTTGAATCTAATTGCACCATAAGTGACAGCACTGCTTCTACTTGTCCTTTGCTGTTCCCCATATTTGCTTCAGTGCTTCCTGACCTGAAAGTCTCATCTTCCAGCACTATCTCTTGTTTCACTTTAGTCTGTCTCATCATAGGGTTTTCTAAGTAAGAAATGTTCAGCATTGGTTTACCATTGGCATTTTCTGTGCAGTACTAACAAGAGTTAGCTTGAGTGTCGCTGCCATTGTCTGTCAAAGATCCTCCACCAGCATGATCGCTGCTGCCCAATAATTGTCCCCCCCCAGATGTTTCTCAACTCCCATCACCTTTGGAGCTATCCATTCTCTTCTGCTGATGTCTGTCCCCACCCCCCAGAAGAGAATGGAGCTATCCATTCTCTTCTGCTGATGTGGCTGTTACTCCTGGAGTGGGTGGCTGCATCTTACTCCTGTGTCTCCAGGTCTGACAATTAGAGTTTGGTTGTCCCTGCTAGGAGGAGACCAGGCTGTTAATGGAGTCTAGCATCCTGACAGCTCTGCTTTCGGCTCTTCTGACACAATCAGACCTCCTCACCATGTTAAGGTGGGCATCTTTTCCGCTCCATTTTCTCCTCACAGCAGGAGGTCAGTCGGTCTGGAGAGTGAATTGAAATAATTCATTCTCGCTGTTTAAGCCCTTTGCACACCAATTACTGTACGTAAAATGTATTCATTACCAAGAATGCCGTACAACTTGGACACTATTTTTGGACTTTCGGTAAGCACTCCTTTTCTTGCATTATGATGTTTGAAATAACGGCTTTCTAAACATTCTTGCAGCCGGACCCAGCAACCTCTGGTTGTGTTGGACTACAATTCCCATCATTCCCAGCTGGCTGCACACTATTACATCACAGCCGGTCGCACACACTGTGCAGCCAGTGTGATGCAATAGTCAGAGGAACGGGCTAAGATTTTGGAGATTTGGTTTCACATCTCCCACTGGATCCGTCCCTTGTCTTTCAGAACTGACTGAAATCACAGGGTTGCTGGGCAGAGAAAATGGGGAGGAAAACCGTTATTCTCCCTTGAATATGTTGGAGGAAAATGACAGACTTAAAGGCAAATAATAAATATCAGTTTTAAGCTCTGTTTTGTTTCAGTGGATGAAGCATCTCACTAGACTGAAAAATAGCTTGTGGCATAGCTTCACATTTTCAGTACAAGAGAAGCACCATGGCCTGGAAAAGTTGCTTTCTTGGACTCTTTCTTTTTTCTCATCAGAATAAGGACTACGTCTCCCACAATCCCCCAGCCCAGCAGAGTTGATATATTAGAATAGATGCCATGATGTAACATTTGAAGTATAGTTGGACCCCCTTATCTGCAAGATCAGTATCTGCTGATTCACTAATCCATAGTCTGAAAATATTAGACGAAAAATCTCCAAAAATATTTTTAAATTATGAAGTTACCAGAACTGGCCACTACATGGAGCCAGAGACCATGCTATGTATAGCATTTGCTATAATCCACATTTTTCAGCATCCGCGGGGAGGCTTAGAACCAATCCCCTGTAGATATGGGCGTCCTACTGTACAATGTTCTTTACTGGATACCCACATTATTATTGCTTAAAATGTAAAGAAAGAGAGCTATATATCTGTCCCTTGCACTGCCCACCCCACATATCTCAGTCTGTATTTCTTGCAAACCTATGTGCTAGTTAAGGATGTCTATCCCCATGTGATTGGTGAGGATGCTAGAATCTCGTACTATGGCTTGACCATACAAGCTACAGTAGACCCATTGACTTGATGGGATTACCTAAATGTTGACTTACTGTTTGACAATTTATTAAATCTCTCTTCTGCCTAGATGAGGCTAGTTACAAGGTACTGGCCACAGAAACATTAAAAACAATGTGTTTTTAAAATTGAGTGCCCTGTCTCTTCACTCCCATGGTCTCCTTATTGCATGTCAAATCTCATTAAGCTGGGTTCTATTATTTCAGAGCTAGGGCTCTGAACGCTCATAAAAGTTCCTTTTTCAGACTGTAACTCCCTGTGGTAAGATGAATTCCAGGAATCGAATTGTCAACCCAAAGTGTAATTTTTCCAACCGCTGGTTCTGACAGACAGCTTTATTATGATTGGCAGATATTCAGTGAAGGGTTTGGGGGCATCAGAGCGCATTCTTTCCCTAGCCTGCTTTTCCTTCTCTTCTATTTTTTAAATTGACAATGCGTGTTCTGTCTGTTTCCTAATTGCTGGAGGATATGATCTTTTCATTGTTATAGCAAGTGCTGCCTAGAGTGCCACTTGGAAAAGCAATTCCCTGTCTTTTTAAAACACCTATGAATTATAAGAAAGGCTCTCTTGAGATGTCTCTCTCATAAGCTTGTTTCCAAAGTGCGTTCCGAGGGCTGCAGCCTTAAAGTTGTTTTTGCGTGCCAAAAAAAAAAATATTGATGGAACGAAGGCTACGAGACTGGAGGGCTGAGAAGATGGGAAAGCTTGGGAACGAAAGGTCCTCGTCTATCCCGGGAAGTGGGCACAAATTGATTGATTGATTTATTATTTATTTATTTAAAATAATGTTATGCCGCTTTTCTCCTCAGGAAGGACCCAAAGTGATGACTAAAAATAGTATTAAAAGCTAAAAAAAAAAGACAGTATACAAATACTAAAAAGAATCAAACAGAGACCACTACTAAAAGATAGGAAATAAAAGCAATACCAAAGCCACGTTCAACCAAACAGAGACCACTACTAAAAGATAGTAAATAAAAGCAATACCAAAGCCACGTTCAAAGCAGTAAGGCACAACAAGCCATTTAAAACCCCCACTCATTAAGGGAAAGTTTGCCTGATGAGAAAGTTCTTTGCCTGCTCCAAACAGAGACCACTACTAAAAGATAGTAAATAAAAGCAATACCAAAGCCACGTTCAAAGCAGTAAGGCACAACAAGCCATTTAAAACCCCCACTCATTAAGGGAAAGTTTGCCTGATGAGAAAGTTCTTTGCCTGCTTTCACAACGAGCCATTAAAAAACCCCACTCATTAAGGGAAAGTTTGCCTGAGGAGAAATTTCTTTGTGGAAGGACAGCAAAGGTGGGCTTCCTGTGGGAGGGAGTTCCAAAGTCTTGGAGCAGCCACAGAGAAGGCCCTTTACTGTGTCCCCACCAAATACACCTGTGAGGGTGGTCGGACCGAGAGAAAGGCCTCTCCTGATGATCTTAACAGTTGGGTAGGACCATAAAGAGAGACGTCATCCTTGAGATGTAATCATAGTAGTTAGAATTAAGAGGGAGGAGAGCTGGGTTCAAATCCCTAGGAAACTTCCTAGGTGACCCTGGGCTCATCACAGTCTTTTGCTTGATCTGCTTTACAGGACAGGGATGAGGATCAAGTCATGGGGAAGAGACCAGGTATACCGCTCTGAAATAATGGAAGGAATAGTGAGATATAAATGGAATAAAACAATTTTTTTAAACCAGAGCTTCAAAAACTTGCTTTTTGAACGACAGTTGTCAGAAATTATGCTAAACTTGTTTCTGACCAATGGGTATCTCTGTATTTCTGACTCAAGGGGTAGGATAAGCTGCAAGACAACTTTTGGCCTCTTCCTTTGAGGTGGAAACATGAGTCACCTGTTTTGAAACAATTCTTAAAACTTTAGATATGTGAGAAGAATCCGCTTATGGAAAAGAACTGACTTTTCTCCAGAGCTTCTTTTAAACTCCTTAACAATTTAAAGAGGTTCACAGTGAGGGCAACCCTGTGGTGGACAATAAACCAGATCAACTTGAGTTTTCAATCAGTCTTTTTATTAGAGGCCAAAACTGAGAGAAGTTCAAGAATGGACTGTTACTATGGGATAAAATGAGCCTACACATTTAAGTAATGCATAAAAATAATTTGGCAAACTAGCATTTTATAGGTGGGAGAAGGGATGAGGGATAGCTTGCCCTAGTGTAAGCCTAGAATGTGGAAATATGGAAATATCTCCCCCACTCCCCACCCTGAAAGCAGCTTTCTGAATTTCTGTATAGACTTCTGTTGCTTATTTTTGATTCAGGCAAATTTAAAGGAATTCTACTATGAGTAAAGGGACGCGGTGGTGCTGCGGGTTAAACGTAAAGAAATTCTACTATGGGTAGGGCTCGGGAACCTGTGCCACATCAACTGCTGCTGGACTGCAGGACCCATCATCCCTAGCCAGCACATGGAATGGTGAGAGATTGGTGGGGGTAGCAGTCCAACAACACTGGGGTAACCCCATTTTCCCCATACTGGGTAGCCACAAGACAATATCAGTCTGACCAGTCCATCGCCTTGAATGATCTGAGCCCACTGACCGTCTGCAGCTTTTGTCTACCAGAGCTGAGCCAGTTGAGAAAGAAAGAAATTGAAGATCTAGTGTGGAATATGTAGCATTTTGGGCACCGCTGAAGTGAAGACCAAGATAGTCCTGTAGAACAGTGGTCCCCAACCTTGGCCATGTCAAGGGCAACCTACTATGAGTAGGGCTCGGGAACCTGTGCTACATCAACTGCTGCTGGACTGCAGGTCCCATCATCCCTAGCCAGCATATGGAATGGTGAGAGATTGGGGGGGGGAGCAGTCCAACAACACTGGGGTAACCCCATTTTCCCCATACTGGGTAGCCACAAGACAATATCAGTCTGACCAGTCCATCGCCTTGAATGATCTGAGCCCACTGACCGTCTGCAGCTTTTGTCTACCAGAGCTGAGCCAGTTGAAAAGGAAAAAAAGGAAGATCTAGTGTGGAATTTGTAGCATTTTGGGCACCGCCGAAGTGAAGGCCAAGATAGTCCTGTATAAGCTAAAAGGGAGGGCCCGTTTCAACCAGAACTTAGAGGAGTTACTTTCTGGACTACAACTTCTAAAATTACCCAGCCAGCATCGCAAGAATTCTAGGAGTTATATTTTAAACAGCAACGTTTCGAAGCTCTGATTGAAACTCAATTTAACATTGGTGAGAGATTAGTACCCTGTCCATCGAAGGCATTAGACTCATTTATTTTAGGGGACACTCCAAGACAGGCTGTGTGGCCAAGAAACCTCCTTCCACAGTCAGGGAGTTCAGCTGAAACAGCCAGGAGGGTGTCAGGGCTACTACCATTACTCACATTCGATGCTCCTCACTCTGCCTAATAATAGGGCTGGCCTGGATGCCCGAGCATGTTCTTTGTTCGGGGACAGTTCGAGCATGGATAGGCAGATTAGATTTGTTATATACCGCAGCATGCCTCCTGCTAGTCACCCCCCGCCCCCAGTTTGGGCACTTGGGCCCGAAAAAGGTTCGCCGCCATTTTACTAAAACAATGGCAAACTTATGGCATGTGGGCCACAGCTAGAACGCAGAGCCCTTTCTGGGGGCATGCGAGCCATAAGTCGCCAGATCCATAAGTCGCATGCGAGCCATAAGTCAGCCAAACCTGAGGTGGCAGCTGCAGCCGCGGTGCTAGCACTTCGACAGGCCACTTCGGCGGGCCAGGATCCGGAGCTGCTGGCATTGGTGGGGGATCCAGAATGGAGTCTTGAGGCACCTCCATGTCCGGGATTCCCTCTTCCGCCACCACTTCTGGTTCCACCACCACCACAGCGCGCCTCCTGCTAGTTCCCCCACCCCCAGTTTGGGCACTTGGGCCTGAAAAAGGTTCGCCGCCATTTTACTAAAACATGCAACAAGGTGTGGGAGGAGATTGGGGAGGGGTCTTGGCTTGAGGGTTGCTGCCCTGCCAGCTCAGTGTAAATGAATCTCCAGCACCAAAAGCATATCCTCTTGAGAGTGTAGCCGCTCAGCAAAGAAAGACTTGGCCTCCATGGCCTTGACATACTGTGGAGAGAAAAGAAGACATCAGCCGGAGGCTAGAGAATTGCCTCATCCACTCCGAGAGAAAAGTGGCCTCTCAAAAGTCCCGTTAAAAGACATCCAGTTTTCTGAGTACAGTATTGGCCTTCAGAGTAAAGCTTGTAAATGGGTTTTACAACATTGTAAAGTTACTTTTAAAAAGTAACTTATGACTGGGATATAAATTCTTGCTTGTCTTAGCCTTGCAAGCAATGATGCTGAACTTAAAATTTATTTATTTATTTGGCTTACCACTTACAGCAGCAAGGCAGTCAGATATTTTTCCTAGGGCTATCAGCACGTTTCCTCATATGGGTGAGAACGATCATTATACAAACTGTGCTACTATGAAAACCTCAATGGCTTCTGCTTTGCTGCGTGGGCTTTCTAAGACACCAGGGATGAATATTTACCCATTTTTATTTATCTCTCCTAAACTCATTTAAGCACCTCATTGAATCACAAATCCTAGGATTTGATAGGACGGAGCTATGATAGTTAAAGTGGTACCAAAATGATGTTACTGTCTGTCTACTACAGATATACAGAAGGCGCGGGAGAGTTTTATCCTCACCTAAGAGGCTGCTCCAGAAAGCAGCAAAGGTGGCTTCCCCTGTGACAGCACCAGAAGCAGCTGGGTTCTTGCGCCTGGTGTGGACAGAGAAACCTCCAAGCCCAGTCACCTCAGTCTCCACCACGTGGTGGTTGGAGAGGCTGTAAAGAAGAACCAGAGTCCATTAGGCTCATGGTTTCCAAGGAAGATCATTCCAGACCATCCCCTCATCAGAATCAACCTCCCCTAGCAGACGAGCTTAAGGACTCACACAGGGTCAGCGATAAGGCAGCCTTGTACACCATCAAAACCCAGGCTGGGTGCTGCCATACAGGCCGCTGCCATGGTGTTGACATTGTTGGGGGCCAGGGGACAGAGTTGCCTCACGGGTCCCTTGTAGAGCACCACACGTTCCTGCCGGGCACCCTTAGCCAGTTCCCCCAGGTGCCCACCCAGCCGGAAGCTGTCCGGGTGTTTTGCCATGGTGACGGTTAATGCCTAAGGAAAAAAAATGGCAAAACAAAGTCAAGGCAATGACAGAAACCTCCCAAATCTATAAGTTTGTAAGATTCCTGAGGCAGGGATCTTCTTTGGTTTAATGCTATTCCACCATTAAGGTTCGAGGGCCATGTCCCATCACCCACAGCCATCCATCACCGTCTGTCTCTGTCCAGTGAAACTGGAGGTGACTGGAATGTAAAGTTTGGTTTCTTTTTTTTTAAGGCCTAAAACAGATTTTAAAAAGCTGAGGCAGAGGTGGCCAAATCACTGCCTCCCAGGGCCCCCTATGGAGTCCCGAGACAGGCCTATAACTCACCAACCTCCCACAGTGTTGCCACCCCATGGCAAAATCATGCCCCCGGAGGCTTCTGGGGCACACAATCTGTCAGTTTTATACAATTCCTTCCTTGGACCTGGTGAAGCCAAAACAAGACTTTAAAAAAAAATCAAACTGGAATCGAATGGACATGGAAGTGCAGGTTTCCCATGGTGTATGTGTGTGTTAATTTTTTTAAAGAGATAAAAGAGTTTGTGCATGTATGTAACCCTTTATGGTCTGGAAAAGGGCAAAAAAAAAAAAAAGAACCACAGACCATCAGACGTTGTCCCATCTTGTGCTAAAACAAGGTACAGGATGTGTTTGCTTTGCTTTAGGGGAGACGTTCACGCCCTGGAGCTTTCTGGAGAAAGGAAGGGTTTCTGTGGATCACAGACATAGCCTTGAGGGATGCCTGCTACTCTCACACCGCATGATTTCCACCCGACCTCTAAAACAGTTGCCAGGATATTGATAATGCAACATATGGGATTATATTAATAATACCGTAGATGTGATAAATACAGTATTTCCCTCTTTCCTTTTTCGAAACAGTTCTGAACATAGAATATGGCTTGCCCAAGCAAGGCTCTCATAAAACCTGACTTACACTTCAGGTGTTGACAGAATCTTCTGGAAATCATCCGGAAGATCTGTGATTCAACTACCTAGTTTAAGTTTAAGCAGTGCAGTATTTGGACCACTACAGGATCAGGGATCTGCTGGAAATCCTGTTTATGCTCCCTTGTGTTCCATGATGCAAAAAGGGTGCTATGTACATGTAATAAGTGTTAACACTATAACATTTTCTAAATGTCAGTTAAGATATTCAGTATTCCTTTCTCTGTACCCTTCTGTTAATTAAGTTACCCTCTTCATATCTTCTCCCATAGGAAGGTCTTACCTGAAGCATCCCTCCCCTGTCCAACCTTTGGATGTCTTGGCCACCCCATAGAGCCCCACTGGGAATGTAGAGGGTGTGCCCAGCCCGTCGTGCAGCTTCTCGTAGTTTTTGCTCTGTGCCTACATCTGCCAGGGCGGTCGGCGAACCCACCTAGTAGACATGGAGATGTTTGCAAGGGTTAATGTTGGGAAGTCTGAGGAAGCCCCACTGTGCCGGGGAGGCTTGATTGTTACCTCTGTGTTCGTTGAGTGCCAGGTTATCAGGGGCAGGTCCTCCATGAGGAAAAAGATGCTGCCTCAGGGGGCAGGTTTTGGGTGCCCAATTCAGCTCACAATGACAGTAATGTTATTGTGAGCTGAATTTAACATTAGCTCTAGGCAGAGGAGACTCCTTGAAACAAAAGTATAGTGGCCAATTGCATATTGCATTTAACACAATGGTTGTGTAGATCAGTGGTTCTTAACCTTGGGTTACTGAGGTGTTTTTGAACTGCAACTCCCAGAAACCCCAGTCAGGACAGCTGGTGGTGAAGGCTTCTGGGAGTTGCAGTCCAAAACTCCTGAGTAACCCAAGGTTAAGAACCAGTGGTGTAGATAGACCTGACATTCGATTTATCCCTGCATTTTTATTTCATGGGGTGTGGTGGGGCTGATTGTGGTCTTCTAGTTGTCAAGTATCAAAAATTATTTAGTTTTCAGGTGCCAAAATAACTTGCCAAGTTTTAGGCGAGGGCACCAATTTTTGTTCTGCTCAGACAGCAATATGGTTTTGGGCGAGCCTGCAAACAATCTATTGAATGGTGGTCAAAAGCTGGAAAGCCAGAGGGGGAAAAAAATAAGTAAGAAAGCTTGATATTGATGTGTGAAAGTGTTTTGAGATCAGACATGTTTGTAGCAATAGAAAGGAAAGAATATTTTAACTTGAGCAATTATAAAAGTGTGGTGTAAATCAGCACATGCCAAACAAACGGATGTATCTCTTCATGAATCATGCAGGATTATTAGCGGCTGCCTGAAACCTACCGCCATTGAAAAAGTCTATTATTTGGCTGGCATTGCCACTCCAGAAGTATAGAGAGAGGTGCTAGCAAATAACGAAGGGAAAAAAAGCTAATACAGCATCAAACTGATCCACTTTGTGGATACCAAAGCCCTAGTTGATGAATAAAATTGAAGAAAAGTATTCTGCACACTTTTCACGCTCTAAACATTAAACTAGAAGAGGCTTGGCTAAACCTATGGAGAATAAAAACAACACCTTAGCCCAATGGAAGAATGCTGAAGAGTGCCCCCCCATCAGGATAAGGCTCTAACTGGACCATCTGGAAGCCACTTAATAGACTTTGAAGTAGACAATCAAGTAAAATGGGGCTACTTGGATACAGGAAAAGTTTTCTGTGACTGGTGGAGAAATGTCCTCAACACAGTGTTTATGTGCATGCAATTTACGCCCCATCACTTGTACAAAAGAAGGTCTAGCAAATGGCTGAGATAATGGTATTAAAGTAGCCTGTTCTGGTTTTTTTTTAAAAAAATCTAATTATCTTAGCATTGTCATGAAGTAGCCTGTTCTTGGTTTAAAAAAAATCTAATTATCTTAGCATTGTCATTTGCTTTTAATTTTGTCTATATTTTATATATGTCCTAAAAAGGATGTTGAAGGGAGGGAAGAGCACCATCCCCTTTGATCTTTCTCTAAAGGCATTTGGAGCCCTCACCATAAAATCTGTGGCTTTGAGAAATGACTCCCCGTGTTCTTGGGCAATACAGGGATGTGCCACTTCAACAATGATGTCGGCATGCCTTCGGAGAGAGAAGATGGAGACAAAGTGAGAACACCAGTGTTGCTTTTAGGTAGGAATTAGTTACAGTTCATCTTCCTAAAACTAATTACTTACAGTTATAGTTGCAATTGTAAAAAATAAACCATTCCTTTCTTATTATTCAACAGTGACTAAAACAAATTATAATGAAGTAAATACATGAATGTAAAGTTTTGGTCATTTTTACAAAAATGATTAAAAGGTACCGTATTTTTCACACCATAAGACGCACTTTCCCCCCACAAAACAGGGGGGTGGAAAGTCTGTGCGTCTTATGGAGCGAAGAAAACAGATTATATTATTATGATGAAGTAAATACATGAATGTAAAGTTTTGGTCATTTTTACAAAAATGATTAAAAGGTATGTTTCCCTAGATTATGGCCCATTTCATCAGATGCATGAAGTGCTTCTGAGTGTGTACATGCATTTGTGTATGTAAGATATTGTGGGCCTGAGAGTCCAAAAGGCAACTGTAGGCTCATGGTGGGTTCATTCTGCTGCTTCTTGCTGTGTCAATAAATAGTCCCTCGCTGGACTTATCTACCTACCAGTCCAATACATTGGTTAGCTTTGCCAACCTCAGCTCCAGTGGTACCGTGCCCTCCAGCTTCCTGGCATCCCGGTTCCAAACGAAGGCCAGCTCCAAGCCATGTTGGACACCGTTATCTCGGAGCTGTTTCACAAGGTATTGCCCTGGAGACAGAAGGCAGAAAAGAGAAGCATCACAAAGGCAGACCTTGGCTCTTTTTCTCCCACACCTGCTGCGTGCCAGATCTGTTCCCTGCAGAAGGACAAAACTCACCTACGAAACCCTGTGCCATTTACAAAGACTCCTGAATCACAGACCAAGTGATTCCAAGCCAACCCCTCCCCCCCTAAAAAAAAAGAGAGTCACTGATGGAGGAGTCTCATGCTTTATTTCATGAGTATCAAGAAATATTTGGCTGTCCACCATTTGAAACAGAATGGTGTTCTGACCAAGCAAGATCATTCCGATGTTCTCATGGAAGGGACACAAATACAGGAACAGAGAGAAATGTACAACTGGCCCTCAGCACAGATTGAGAAGAATTGCCATTAGCCAGAACTGGTAAGGCAAATTGGCATGCTGCTGAGAGCACTCTGTTCTCCTCCTAGTCTACAATTCCACCTCGCTTCCTCTCTTTGCCCCTGGATTGGCAGCCTGCTCTTTATCCTCCGGTTATGAAGAGCAAATAAAGTTAAGTAAGTGATATGGTTTATTATGGTCACAAGGGAGAGAATAGATGCCAGTGGAAGGACAAGAGCCATTGTGGCCCACCAGCTCAGTGGCATGGAAGAATCATCACTAAAGTCACTCATGGGGAAGGCTCATCATCACCAGCTTAATGGGCCAAGCATTTAACTGTCAGATGAAAAGGGCACTACTGCAGTTCATTTTATGAACAGTTATCTTCTCAGACCCAGATTGTGTAAAATGTGCATGTGTGTTTGTCTTCAAAATAGCTTCAAGGCTGACAAAAGGTAGACACCTAAAATTTGCTAGGCGTACTAAGGTGAAATCCTTACGGTTAATTGGTCCCTAAAAATGGAGTAATTAATTTATTGTTATCCATGCCAGAATTAATCAATGATGCTTCCTGTGTGGAAGGATCAGCTCCCAGGGAGCTGCCACTGTTTTAGAGATGCCCATGTGCGTTCACAGTCACCACACTCTCCATGGTGTGAATAAAAATGTGTCAGTAACCTGTAGTACCATCTTCAGGCCCTAGGTGGCGGACATCAGACTGGAGGCTACAGTCAGAGAGAGGTTGGAAAGTATGCAGAGGGAAATACCCAAAGAGTACTAGGTGGAGGGAGGAAAAGATGGTGAGGAAGGAGCAAATAGAGGGCAAAGTGGAAAAGAAAGAGCACTAGGGTGAGAGAAAGATCACCTGGACAGGCGAGAGAAGAGAAAGAGCTCCGAAGTGGATAAGGAGAGAGAAGGTGAAAGAAGACAACATGGTTTCAGAGAGTGGTTGATGGGTGGAAGAAGAGTCTGGTGGATGGGAGAGAACAATTATTGGGATGGGATGGTGACTATGGGTTTTGAGCCCATGCAGACCTGGAAAGAAGAGGCTTACATTATTACAGAATATCTGAAAACTTTGCCAAAATTTAGCACAGATACTTAGTACTGTTAATACTGGCTTTCTGTACTGGGGTAGATGTTGTTGATCTAGCTCTGGAGGAACTCTCTACCATTCCGTTATCAAGGACAAATTGTTATCCCTTGGGGTGGTGGTGGTGGAAATTAAGATGATCCACCCCAGGAGGCTGATCGTTATCCCTTGGGGGGGGGGAATTAAGATGATCCACCCCAGGAGACTGATGGATCCAAATGGTTTTCTGACCGTTCTTGGGGAGCGTCCTGTCACCTCAGCCTCCCGCATCTGTAGACGCCAGCTTCAGTATCTCCACCAACTGGAGGCTGAGGTTCAAGCGGCTCTAAGGCGTGGTCCTGGGCAGCACATTTGGGCCTCTGGCCAACAATAAAAACGGAAGAGACGGAGAGGGTGAAGTGAACCGCTCCCCACAGCTGTGAGACACAGGGTCTGGCCTGGTTAAAACTGCAGTTCCTGATGGTGTTAGAATCAACGCTCTTGTTGTAGCCCACCTCATCTTCAACTGTTACATTTGGACCTATATGGGCAACTTGGGGAGGGGGCATACAGACCCATATTTCAATTACGATGGATGGAGGTGATTTCTTGATTCAAGACTACCTACCTAGGTGTCCATAGCCCACTATTCCAACCCGTCTCTTCTTTTGTCCTCCAGACATTTGGTCTGCTGCAGTATAAACAGAAAAAACAAAACACCAAATGATATGGTTTGCCACGTAGAATATGGAATGTTCAGTATATGTGTATTATTGTGAACAGGTTGCACTTATATAAGATAACATATACACAGAGAAAGAGCTCCTGTTCTTTTTGCCACTTTGGCTGCCATGTTATAGTATAGCCAGATCTCTTGGAGCGAAGCACTGGGACACTGTGATTGGCAGGGATGGTTATATCATCTGCCACCCCCCTCAGGCTTCCATGTTGCTTCTGTGCTTGGCTGCAATCATTAAAATAGCTGTAGGGTAGTGGCGGATTTATTTTTCCAGTCACAATACACAGTTGTAATCTTTCCCTTTTTTGTAATGCAGTGGGGGAGAGGAAGGCCTGGCCTTGAATAGGGAATTAAGATCCATCAGCTTTACAAAAGACTTGCTTTTTTGTGTGAGATGAAGTGATGTAAAGATGAAAATTTCAAGATAATGACGTTATTGATGATGATAGAACTCTTTCTGGAGACTTTCATGAACTTCCATTTCAAAAGTAATCCAACTCCACCACTGATTGTCACTGAATGAGCATCATAAATTTAAGAGGTGTGTTTCCACATGAATATCTGCCATTGGGTTTCTCATTCTCCAGCTGGATGTATGAACAGATTCCACAGTAAAGCATTTGTTTTTGAGATGATAAGAACGCTCATGTTTGCGTAGCCTGTACATGCATAATGCAGGTCATAAGGAGAGGCTGTTTTGGGCAAGTGTACGAAACAGACTTAAGAAAATATGTTGATTTTCCACTCCCGACCCATCATTTCACTCCATCTTCTTTTGTTACATTTGGATAGATCACTTCTAGCACTACTAAACTGACACCCCCAAACAGCTATCACATCCTTTCCTCCTTAAACTTTATTTCTGCGATATGAAAAACTGGATGAAATGGCAGGTAAACACAGTGGTTGCAAGTGGTAGGTGACCATGTCTTGCCCTCCCCTAAAAAAAAAAGTCTAGTTGCACAATAAAGAGTCTTGTCTGGAAGAGTACCTTCATTCCATCTTTCCCAGAGGTAAAAATATCCAGAAGTATTAGCAGATCTTTAGGGCGGGAAAAGCCCAAAGTGAGAGAGAAAGATTGGGAAGCTGGGGAAAAGGGCCATAAAAACCTTTCACTGAGGACTGGCCATGCTCAGTAGCCACCAAAGGTTGACTGACTACTAGGGGGTCAGGATGGAATGGAGCTGGTGGGATCCTTAATGAAGAATACTCTGCACTGCAACATTTTGTTGCCATTCCAACTTGCCCTCCTTGTTAGTTAACTAGTGATTTTTAACATGCTTCCTATAACCACACTTTCCCCATGTCTCATCTCACCTATAGTCCTTTAACCCCAGGTTCGGTTCCACAATTATAAACTCACCTGAGCTTGCTGCTTGCCTTTTTCTTGCAAACAACTCCAGGATCCCAGCAGACAAAGGTGCCCTTTGGTCTAATCAGTCCCTGGGGGATGTTAATGATTAGCCTCGGCTGGTTCTGTAATTCTACAGGGAATAAAGCTCTTGGCAGGCTGATGCTAGCAGAATGCGCTCCCCGATTCAGCCAACTGGCTTCTTGGTAGCTGGTCTGTCAAGTACTGCCTTAGATATGTGAATGCACCTTCACAGGTGAATCAGCACACATAGAAACATTTGTGTTGCCATCCTCACACATTCCTCTGCATTTCTGAGTGTTGAGTTCAAGGAGCAGCTTACTCCCAGGAGACATCTGTGTGGATGTCATAGACATGTTTCCTTTTGGTTTTTGCAAACAGAAGCTGAGTAGAGCAGAAGCCAGATGACTTCCTGCTCCTCCAGAGCAACACCTTCAGTTTCAAACAGTGCATATGTTGCTGGATTTTCTGTCACTGAGAATAGCCCCCTTCCCCCCTCTGCTGCAATTGGAAAGAAATTCCACCAGAGCTGCTATTGCTGCTGTGGTATGTGCCAAAATGCAACGGGAAGGGGATCTAGGAAGAGGCATGCCAGGATCTGAGTGCCATATCCCCCTCTGCTGCAATTTGAAAGAAATTCCACCTATTGCTGCTGTGGTATGTGCCAAACTGCAACGGGAAGGAGATCTAGGAAGAGGCATGCCAGGATCTGAGTGCCATATTGATTCCAGGCTGAGCTCCCCCAAGTTTGCTTTTCCTTTTCACCAAGAAGAGATATTGGATGCAAGATATACACTGAGAGTAGATGAGTTTGTGCTAGAGAGTACTTCACATTGCTTCCCCCTCCCCCCGGCAAACTCACTGACCTCTCCATTGCACAATCTTGCAGTCTGGGCAGAAGCCTGGACCTCCCTTCTCCACCTCCTCCAGCAGCTGACCACTCAGACAAAGAGACCAGGCAGGGATTCCTGCAGTGCCAGCTGCTGGAGGAGGTGGGGAAGGGAAGTCTAGGCTCCTGCCCAGACTGCATGGTCACATGACAGGGAAAGAAGGAGAAGTGCATGCCATCAGGTCAGTGGGTGAGCTGGCAAGGGGAGGGGAAAGAAATGCACAGTAGCTGTGCTGGCATGCAAACAACTTGTGATGAAGGGACACGAAGTACTTCATGCCCATCTCTAGTTTGTGCCCATCCCACAGCAGCTGCCAATGGGTAGGGTTGGTTGTCCTTCTAGCAGCAGATATTCCATCTCTAGTTTGAGCCCATCCCACAGCAGCCGCCAATGGGGAGGGTTGGTTGTCCTTCTAGCAGCAGATATTTTTGGCAGCTTGGAACAAAAACCCAAATTTCTCCACCCTCATTATGGTCCTGGGTATGTGTGTCTTCTATGGGTGACAATGAGAACTCCTCCCAAGTCTTATTTTTGGGATGGTGCAGAGGTTACCGTTATCCTCCAGCTGGCATGATCTGATCTGGGGACATCAAGCTCATTGAAGGGTTGAGACCCGGCTGTATGACCATCTCTGTTCTGTCCTCCGAGGCAAGGAAATGAACAACCAGGAGCTCATTCAGCCTTGGAACTGCTGTGTCTGCCACCAAATGGTTGACCCCTTCTTCTTAATGTAGTAGCCAAGCCAACTCTGCTGTTACCATCCTGGTGAAGATTCTTTCTATGTCTATCTCCATGCCTACCAACAGCCATTAACTGGTAGATGATACATACATGTAGCAGTGGAGAGGGCAGAGGTCAGACCCCAGGAACCCAGATTTTTTTTAAAAACCTCAAAGCTTTATAGTCCAGTGGTTCTTAACCTTTGTTACTCAGGTGTTTTTGAACTGCAACTCCCAGAAACCTCAGCCAGCAGATGATACATTAGCAGTGGTGAGGGCAGAGGGCAGACCCCAGGAACCCAGATTTTTTTATAAACCTCAAAGCTTTAGACTATAGGGTAGTGGTTTCCAACTTTGTTTGTCGAGATGTTCCTGTACTAAAACTCCCCTATAGGGTAGTGGTTCCCAACGTTGGTTGTCGAGATGTTCCTGTACTAAAACTCCCAGAAGCCTTCACCACTAGCTATGCTGGCTAGGATTTCTGGGAGCTGTAGTCCAAGAACATCTAGTGATCCAAGGTTGGGAGCCACTGCTCTAGGGGTTAGAGGGAGAATTTCATCTCATGTCCCCAGGTTTTGTTTGCCCAGACCTGATTTAGGATATCTGTTACACGTGACATTTGGACTTTTTTGTTTGTTTTGAAAAAAGTTCCTCAGACTAGGGGGGGCAAAAGTGGCAAAACTGCATCCTAAAGCTTCTTGATTTAGAAAAAAATCTGTAAATCCTCTTGATGTGTCAGACTAACAATTTGCACTGTCCTCCTACAATGATGTAGGAGGGCCTACATCATGGCTGAGGAATGCTGGTTGACTGTGTCATGAATAACTTAAGTATACTGATTTCAAACTCTCTGTTCTAAGTGTGACTGAAGCCCAGTTCAGGAATTATTAATAGGGGAGAAGGGGAAATAAGAATGTATTTTATGGTCATATAAGGACATTTGTCCTTCCTTCCTTCCTTCCTTCCTTCCTTCCTTCCTTCCTTCCTTCCTTTCTTCCTCTGAAATGCATTACAATCTTCAGAAATACAGAATTTTGGTGTGAGGTTTTCATTTGTTTTCAGGTTCAAGTAGCAAAAGTTTAGTTTGTTTTTACTGAAATGGTAACCAGGCATGTTCCTCACTCATCTACAAGTAACAGATTGGAATCTACCAATACATTTTCTATTTTTTCTTTGTCTGACTGGCCCTGGTATGAGTAACTTCCCAAGAGGACGAAATTCTCCAGTTACAGTCCCAGGAAGTATCCTAACTGGCACATTTATCACCTTTAATTTCAGTTGACTATTGCTCCTCTAAGTCCACTTTGGTTTGTTTCTACTGTCTGTAGTCCTCTTCCCTCATTTGCAAGCATGGGTTTTGCAAGGTTGCATTTTTTAAAAAAAGTTGTTTTGTTGTTAAATTCAAAAGACAAACTTTGACTGGTATTATATAACAGATACAAGTTTTAACCAAAAACCTTAGTATTACTTAAATATTGGTGTAATAATGTTCCTTGCGCAAGTATGTCCTAACTACCCAGTGCTCCAAGTTTTCAAAAATAATAAATACGTATGCTGTTTCCAATATCACCATATTTTGCAGCTCTGATGCTGTTATTTTGGAGATCTGCAGCTGATTATAATGATTTTATAAAATTCCACAATGTTGTTCCCAATGCCTTGATAACTATGAGGACTACTGAAATGTGTTTCATCCAGAAGTGAGTTGTTTCTATTCTGAGGTCTCTGTATTTTATTCTTCTATCTTCAACTCAGGCATCTCCTGGAATTGCAGTGTCAATAATCCAGACATTTCTTTGTTCTATTACTGTTACGTCTGGTACATTATGCTCAAGATGTTTGTCCGTTTGAATCCAAAAGTCCCATAAGATCTCCACTTGGTTGTTTTCTGACATCTTCTCTACCTAATGTTCTCATGGATCTTGGCAGATTATACTTTTTACATAATGATCAGTGTACTGTATTAATTTTGCTATTGTGTGTAGTTTTGTGTTCTGTCTGTTCAGTCTCTGAACATTCGCAGATGAGGTGTAGCACAATTTCATCTTTTTCTTGGCAGAGTCGACATTTGCTGTTTATATGAATTCCTTGAATTTTAACTTTTATGACATGAGTTTTAAGTGCTTGTTTTTGTGCAGCAAAGATCAAGCTTTCAGTTTATTTTTTATGGTCCCCAGTTTTAGCCATGCCCAAGTTAAGTTGTTGTCGTAACAATATCCCTCAGATATTGTCCCAGCAGTGGTTTATTTTCCCAGGTATTTATTTTATTTTCAAATTGTTATTACTTGTATTCAACCTACATTTCCATTATGTTCAAGATGTTTCCCTTTCCATCGCTTTAAGGAAATTTTCTCTACTTCTATTAATATGATCATTTAGGCTTTCCTCCCCTCTTCCTTTATTATCTGTTGTATTTATAGTAACCCAAGACCTCCAATTTCCTGCATTAAATATAATCTGTCCACATCACTTCTGGAGTGTAGCATGTGATGCATGTTCATTAATTTCAGCATTTTTCAATCCGATTTTTCTAACTCACTTTGAGTCTAATGTATTATTCCAGCTGGGTATCTAATTACTGGAGCTGCCCATGTATTTATGGCTTTGATTGTATTTCCATCATTTAATTTTGCTTTTATTTTATTTTGTTGCAGTCTTTTGATGCATTCCCTTTGTGTCAAATCTTTAACTTCTGTATGCTGGAGATGATCTAGTATGCCAAAGTATTTATAATTGTCATCATTTGATAATGATTTTACGATATTGCCAATCTTGGCTCTATTCTGTCTAGATGATGATGATGATGATGAAGAAGAAGATGCTGAATTTTTTATTCTAAATAAATACTGAATTTGCACAGTTGTACCGGTGAACCTGCAGACAAATTAGATGCCTTATACCGAAAAGTATGGCCCAAAATGTGACCTGTAGGGAAAAAATAGATTGCACTCTCTGTTTGAAGGAATTAATGAATGGATTAGAAGGCAATAGCATTTTCAGAAAAGTTCTCTTACGTCAAGATCATAGTGGGAGAGGAAGGAGTTACCTCTCATTCAAGCCTCCTAGGGTCCCAATAACCCACAGGCACACAGTATCTATTGTTGGTCATTTCCACTTTTAAAACCAGAGCAATAAATGCGAAGACACACATTCACATCCAGTTGAGCCTTAATATGCTTTCTTCTCAAAGGAAGTACAGACAGCCCTCGATCCTAGATTGGCAGAGCACATGGCTTGCATGCAAGAAGTCCTGTATTCAATTCTTGACATCTCCAGACAAGGCTGTGAAAAACTCCTAAATCTCCAGAGAGAGGCTTTCAGGGAGATGTTACGGAACATTTATGTCTCGGGAGGATGAGAACTGTTGTCCAGTGTCTCTGGAAGACATCCAATTAAGGAAGGCTGGGTTACAAACATTCATGGGTCTATGGCAGGATCATCTGC